GTGCACCAGGAAGAGCCCCAACTGCCTGTTGCTCTCAGGACCTACCAGCCCTAGGAGGTGCAGAGGGAGCCGGCCAGCCTGCCATGCACACTGGGACTCTTCAGTCCATACTGATGGTGGCGTCACCAAGGACAGTCCTCGGCAAACCAGATGTTTGTTCAGCCCAGATGGGGTGACCCCACACAGTCAGAACCCAGGGCTGGAAAGAGAAAGGCACACACATTGTGGGAGAAGAAGATGACCACAGAACCACAGGCAGCTTCATGAAGGTGTGGGGAGATTTAGGAAGCAGAGTCTGGAAGCAAGTAGAAGAATGGCCTCCAGGAGTCTACATCCCAAAACCCAGGCCCGGGCTCTGCTGCAGGGTTTTAACCATGAATACTTCACTTGCCTTAGTCCAGGCTGCTATAGCAAAATGGCCTGGATTTGGCAGCTTAAGCAACAGATATTTTTCCTTCACTGCCCTGGAAATTGAGAAGTTTGGGGTAGGGGTGTCTTCATGCTCAGGTCTGGGGAGGCTCCCTTCCTAGTTTACAGATGGTGCCTTCCTCCTGTGGCCTCACAGTGGTGGGGCAAGGCTGAACTCCAGCAGCTGAGTCTCTTCCTCCTCTTCTAAGAACTTATCACACAGACAGGGCTCGCCCTGTAATGCTAGGACCTCCTCTAACGATCCCAAAGACTTTGAAGACATAAGTAAGGTTTCTAATCTTATGCCACAGGGAGAGTGGACAATCCTGGATTACCCTTAGAGGTGGAAGATGGAAACAGAAGAATTGGGAGAGATTCAGTGCCAGAGGGGGGCCTGATACGCCTCTGCTGGCTTCATAGCTGGAGAAGCCACCTGATTAAGAATGTGGGAGCCATGAGGGGCTGAGGGCGCATCCTCGGCTGACACCCAGCAGGGAAGCAGGGATCCTAGCCCCATGCCCACACAAAGCCAAAACCCAAGTAAGCTTGGGGTTGATTCTTCCTCAAGTCCCAGGAAAAGGCTAAGCCCAGTCAAGTGCCTAAGGTCTGCAGCATTAGAGATGGGATTCCAGCTAAGCCCACTGAGCTCCTGCCCCACAGACACCCAGAGATAATGGGTGCATGGGGATTGTTTTAAGAGATAAAGTTGGTAGTAACTTGTACAACTAGAGAAAATCAATACAGGGCTTCCCAGTGAGGAGAGAAAGACCACCTAACCATGGAGAGCAGCAGTCATGGACACAAATCCCCACAGGGTCCCTCAAGTCAGGCCAACTGAGAAAGCAGCAGTGTGACCCCATAATAGGTGGCCCCCAAAATACAACCTCAGCATCCAGGATGCCAAGCATGATCCAAATCTTTCCAGAGAGTCTACCTCACCCCCAGTCAGTCTGGTTCCTTGCAAGAATGTGGCGGAGCATGGCCCATACTCCCGTTTTCCAAGAGAATCTAGAAATACCAGTTTTATGGGCTCATTCAAACCACACAATCACTGTGCTGCCCAGTCTCGGGCAGACCCAACGCTAGGCTGATGTGTGCTGTAAGCCAGATGTGGCCTCCAAGGGTACCAACCAAGTAGAAGACAACAGTGGGCAGAGGGCTCCCTGGAATGAGGTGTGAAAATCCCTGGTGTGGACTTGCCAGGAGGCAATGAGGAGCCAGAGAAAGTCCCCCCACCGAGGAGCTCCCATTTATGGAACTCTCCTAGGACAGCTCCTCCCAGCAAGGCCTTGGTCACTGCTAGGCTTCTTTAGCCACTTCCAGAAGAGGAAGCCAGGAAGGAAGCAGCTTAGTAACTGCTGTGATAATGCAGATATGGGTGGTGACCCTGGGCTCCAAACCACAGCAAAATGTGAGCCCTCTCAGTGTTCCTTGCCTATGGCACCCCAGCCTGCGGGCTTTGCTTCCTTTCATTGAGCAGGGCTTGCTGTCTGTCCCATTTGCCTAGGTTGACCAGCTTGCTCTGCCTGCTCAAGTCTCTTCCCTCTACACACACCAGCTCTGCCATGGGACCCCCTCCCTGCAGCCTGAGGTCCCTCACAGCCTTAGGTTCCATCCCCCCACTTGCTTCACCTGATCTTAGCCAAAAGGAGGAAAAGCAATTCCCTTCACCCCTTGGCTTGCTTGCACCTCAGTTTCTCTTTTTCCCAATTCTAACTTCCTAAGAAAGGAATCTGATTGATGGAGACCACTATTTTGTCCCAAGTCAGAATGGGTCAGATGCTAGCTCAGGCATAACCCTAGGTAACGCCTTTTGCTCAGTCTGCACTCTGTCTCCAAGCAACGCTGTCTCAGGGCCAATCAACAGAGGCTGTAGTGACTCAAGGTCTGAGCAGTGTGCTTGGGAGCAGGGGCTTGGGTGAGCGATTGCCCCTAAAGAGATGAGAGCACAATGCTCCAAACACCTACCCTGCCCCCTGCTGGATGCTCATAAATGCACCTTGAACAGAGCAGCCAGGGCCTGAGGAGATAAACACCCAAACAATACTCACAGCGGGAGGGGGAGGCATGGGATTGCCACAGCTGCCAGGTGAGGGGCATGGCAGCCACACCCCACAGGTCATCAAATTCAAGACCCCCATGAGGAAAGACACAGGAAGCACATCAGCCTCCACTACCAGCCTTGGTGATGTCTCACCATGGAGTAGAGTGACCACAGGAGAAGTTGCTATTGTATGAATGACAAGCTGTCACCCTGCCTGTTTCTAATATGGAAACCCCAGGAAAGCCCTATAAGGGCCACACAAATCAGTTGTGGGAAACCAACCCACAATGCAGCTAAGGACCCTCAAGCTCAGGCCCTCCCTGGAACACAATCACACCAAGACAGTTTCACTCTCCCACACTGACACAAAATGAAGAGCATGTGGCCAGTCTGGGCTGAGGATTTATCTCAGTGGTGCCACTGCCTGCCTTGCAAGCGCAAGGTCCTGAATTCAATCCCCAGTACCAAAAAATAGAAAAGAAAAAAAATAAGTCCAGTTTGATGTTCTGACCTATACATATACTTGTAAACTTCAACACTATTGGGATAATGAACCTATATATCACCCCAAGTTTCTTCACTGCCATTCATAATAACATCCCCCCATCTTTTTCACTTCCTTTCACATCTCCTGGCAACCACTGATCTTTTCTCCATCACTGTTGTTTGCATTTTCTAGTATTTATAAATAGGATCATATAGTCTCTGTTTGGTTTTCTGTCTCCTTTCACTTGGCATAATTATTTTGAATTTAACCCATTTCGTTGCATGTATACTAATGCTTTATTTTTTTATTGCTAAGAAGTATCCCATGGTTGATGCATCACAGGCGTTCACCCATTCCTCTAAAGATGGACATCATACCAGGTTTTGTTTATGTATATAGCTCTCGTCTGCCTTGTGAAAATATCTATGAGTAGACTAGCTGGATTATTTGGTAGGTGCTGGTTTGAACGTGTCTCCCCAGAAGTTCATGTGTTAGAAACTTAATCCCCACAACATGTTATCAGTATGTAGAGGTGGAGCCTTCAGGAAATAATCAGGATTCGGTGAGGTCACAAGGCTGTGGCCCCCACCAGAGCTTTAGCAGCTTTAGAAGAAGAGAGACCTTAGGATAAAGGTAAGAAGGGAAAAGAAAAAATAAGAGAAAAGAAAAATATGGGGGGGGAGTCTTTGTAAATAGGGAAGGGTGGAAGGGATGAAGGGAGGGCAGGGGAATGGGGAAAAATAAGAACCAAGATACATCATGTAAAGGTACAAGATCCCAATGATGAATGTAACTGTATGTATACCTAAAATGTACCAATAAAGAAAAAAAGAGGGCTGGGGCTTTAGCTCAGTGGTTCCACTGCCTGACAAGGTCTTGAGTTCAATCCCTGGTACCAAAAAGAAAAAAGAAAAGAAAAAGAGAAGAAGACATGCCTGAGTCTCGCTGCGTGATGCTTTCTGCCATGTTATCAAGAAGGCCTTGTCAGAGCCCCAGAATCCTGGCCTTCCCAGCCTCCAAAACCATGAGCCAAATAAATTCCTTGTAAATTATTCCATCTTGGGTATTTTGTTATAGCAACTGAAAATTGACTAAGACAGGTAGGCAGATATCTGAGCACAGCAGTTTGGATACAACTTTCCTGTGGGTTTCAGAGTGTCCATGCTGTCATATTTAACTTAAAAGATTAAAAAAAGAATTACCCTCATGCCAGGGATTTAGCTCAGCGGTTCGGTGGCCTGCCTTGCAAGCACAAGGACCCAAGTTCAATCCCCAGTACAAAAAAAAAAAAATATATATATCCTCAGACCACATAGAAACCAGCGACACACACACACACTCACCCATTAGGAGAGTTGCCTCCCACACAATGGGTAGAGAGAGACCCCCCCCAGGAGGGAAAATCCTTCCAGTTTTTATAAAATGCTCCATACACAAGCTCCCGGTAGCATCAACATTTTAGAAATGACTCACAGAAGGCTTTGTAATCTATCTCCAGGAGATCCTGCAAATAGTAGCAGCATCTCACTGGTCTCAAGGAGAATAGCTGTGGCCCACACTGGAGGCTTTCCATGAAGTCAAACAGCAAGCTGGTCCCATCAACATCTCCAAGGAACACGGCAGCAACACCCATTCTAATGAGTGGAGACTGTGAGATGGCCCCAGTCAGTCTGAACCTGAACCAACCTTCCAGGTGACTCTGGCCCATGCCCCAGTCTAAGAACCACTGGCCTAGATCACCTGTGAACTTTCCTAGAGTTGACTTCATCAGAAGTTAGAATGCACTGGGGACGCTATCCTCTATTGCCTGGATCCCACCCTCGGAAGGCCCTGCAGTGCCGCCCCCCAATTTACCAGGTGGTGGGTAGACTTGCACAGTGAGTCGCTCTTTCCCCAAAGTATCAAACTTTGAAAATAGAAAATTCTTAGGAACTTAATCACTAGAGCATTTAAATGCAACTATCAGAATTACCCATTCCACTAAGTGTGGCTTCATTGTTATATGAAAAAAATAAATGGAGCTAGGAAAATAAAAAGACCAAGATTTGAGGTGATGTTCTCCAATGCTCTTTACTGCTCCACAGCTCTCACCACAAATGTATACAGCAGCAGGAAAATCAATCACATTTGAGTAGGAAGAATTGAGTAAAAAAATCAGGTTCTTTTTACTTTATCCTTCATTTTAAGCATGATTTCCATTTGACATTATCAGTAGAGAGAAGTTTTGCTCTTTTCCTGGGTATTTTCGCATGCTTAAAATTTAGCCCAATCTTTGAAAACCTTCTCCAGCTTCTGGCTGAGGAGAACTTTGCCGCTCACTTTGAATTTGCCGCCCAGAAAGCTTTCTGCGGGTTCATTTTCCCCAAAACTAACTCCATAAAGACAGACTCTGGGATTGTGAAGACAGTGTCTGCCGGGAGCCCTGCGGGTCCTGGATACATGTCCCCAGCTCTGTTCTTCAGGTCAATGGTCCACTGCAGAATGGTCTTCCCATCTTTGGTGACGTCCAGCTGAAAGATGGCATTGACTTTCTTCACCAGCTGGGCACCCATGTCCTTGATGTAATGGCTGATGCCCTCTAGCACAGGGAAGCTCTGCAGTCCTGACAGGTCCACAGCGGGTGTTATGGCTGCTTCCCGAGCTGAACCTGGAGCTTTGAACTGGTCCGCCTTGAGTCCATCCCCGGGTTTACTTTTGGAAGGATGGTCTGTCCTCTTCCACATTGTGCTGCACTGGTCCTCTTGACCTTGCTGCTCTGGTCTGTGAGCAGCCATGGCCAGGTTAACAGATACAGTTAGATTGTGACATCGAAGGCAAGGTTCAAGTAGAGACTGAAGCTGGTATGTATGCTGCAATCTTATTGGCCAGCAAATCCTAAACTATGACACAAGGTGAGGGCTGGGCCAGTTCATTGTGAGACAGACACATACATGCTCGTGCTCACACACACACACACACACACACACACACACCCGCAGCCAACCAGGGCTGTTGACCCAACAGGCCCAAAAGGTCTGCAGCCTCTGATAGGAAGGAGGGAAGCAGGCTCCAGAGGTTGTTTTGGTGACCTGAATGTTGTCTTTGCAAGGCAGGCATCTCCCAGGCTGCAACTCTAATAAGGAAAACTTATTTCAGTTGCTTTAAAAGTAGATAATCCTTGAGGCACAAATCTGAGGCTTGATTTGGTCTTATCAGAATGCTGGCAAAGGGAGGCAAAATCAACACCAGGGCCTATATTAGAAACCTCCCAGAGTGAGAGAGAGAGAGAGAGGAAGGCAGGGGAAGACAAAAGAGGGAGAGAATGAGGGGGGAAAGAGGGAGAGGGAGAAATAACACTAGGCTCAGCAGAAGATAATAATTTTATAATTATGATAATTGCATGTAACAGTATAGCCCTTGCTCTGAGCCCAGGTACCAAGTACATTGATCGGCACATATAATTCTCCTTACAACCCTTTGAGGTTTTATTCCCATTTTACAGATGAGGAAACTGAGGGAAGAAGAAATGGGGTAACTCCCCCCTCACACAGCTAGTGGGTCCAAACACCAGATCCGAACAGAAGCAGATGACTCCAGAACACATCATTACTTTTTACTTCTTACTTTGAAATACTTTAAGCTTTGCAAAAAGTTTGTTGTTTCTTTTTTGTTTTCTGTTTTGGTACCAGAGACCTTGTGCTTTTGAGGCAGGCGGTGGCACCACTGAGCTAAGTCCCCAGACCTGCAAAAAGGTTTTACAACTAATACCTGTATGTATAACTTGCACCTAGCTCCCCAAATTCAAATACTGTAGCAACCACAGGATGGTGATCTTGTCTGAGAAATTAACACCAGCTCAGTGCTATTAATTGATCTAGAGGCAGTGTGCAGATTTGTCAGTGGCCCCTCCAGTGTCTGTTTTCTCGTCCACAATCCAGATTCCACATTGCTTTTAGCAGTGTGTCTTTCGGTGCCCTGCAGCCTGGGAGTGCTCTTCAGTGTGTGCATTCTGATCTCTGCCCACTGGGAGAATTACCAGCTAGTTATTCGTAAACTAGTTTTGTTTGGGGCCTGTCTGTCATTTTCTCATGGTTAGCTGAGGTTATGCGTTGGAGGTAGGAATATCACACAGGTGTCCACCAGATTTCTCCAATGCAGTCACTGCAACTGCCTCTGCAAATAGGAGAGGATGTTCCCTGAGACCCATACAAACATCTGTTTTGCATCGTCTTTGGCCTGGTCATTTTTGCTTCCATCCACAAACCACACCTGCAAGCTGTAATGTGTGTCAAGGGGTCACGTGATACGTTTTTACATTCCCATCACTCCCTGGAAATTTAATAATTGGAATTCTGCTGTAAGAAAGAGCTGTTCAGGCCAGGGATTTAGCTCAGTGGTTCTGCCGCCTGTTTGATCCCTGGTACCAAAAATAATTAATAAATTAATTTAAAAAAAAGAAAGAGCTGCTCCTTTTCTCTCTCATCTCTTTATTTGTTCAACTACTTATCTCAGTATGACTTCTAGATATTTATTTTATTCCATTGGCTGTAGCCTGTTATTACCATTGTCTATTTTCTTGCTCAAATTGTTGCAGACTTGACCACTGGGCACTCAGTTGGGTCAGCCACTGTGTCCTTTTCCACACAGAACTGCTCTCGCCTGTAAGAGAAGCTGCACTATGCAGAGTTACTGCTGGCTTTGTTGTCTGTGGGATGAATGCAGAGTAAAAAAGGCTTTGGTGCATTCACAGTGAAGGATGAGCTGGGATTATTAGCATCTGGCAAAGAACAAAAGCCAACGGCATCCAAAACCAAGTTTGTGCTTCAAGTCCACCAGGTGTGGACACAAAAAGACAGAGAATTTAAGATGAAGACAGCATGTAGTTCCCCAGGGAGTTGGGGAAGAACAGGCAGCAGAGAAACCTGAGCCCTCCTCCCACCTGACCTGCTTTTCCTTGAGGACAGAGTTGTCCCATCTGAAGTATTTGGAAGGTGCGGCACTGGGCTCTGTGGGCAGCTGCTGGAGCACAGAGGAGGAAATACATGTGCAGCTGCAAGTCCCACGCACCCAACCTGGACCATCCAGCAGCACCTGCCCTGCAGACCAACATGGTTTGGTGCTCAGCGTCATATGGTCCTTGCTAGTCACATGGAGTACTGAAGACACAATGACTGGGCTTGCACATCAGGCCTGGTGGGAAAGACCTTTTGTCCTGAAATAGCCGGGTGTCATCTTCCACACAGGAGATGGACAAACATCTCGGTGGAGGAGTTGCTGAGATGACCCCACTGGGTCAGCCTGCACACTCAGGTGCTTCTGTTTATACATTTGCGACTTAAAATGCAGTCTGCGAACCAGCAACAGTGGCATCCCTGGGCCTGGTTAGAAATATCGACTCTCACGCCCATCTAGGACCAGCTAAACTACTGTCTGCACCTTAACAATAGCCCAGTGATTCCACACCTCATTAACACTTGACATGAGGTACAGCCCAGGAGGAGTGACATGCCCATGCACACACCAGCGTGCTCTCACAAGTTGGAAGATAAAAACGATTGTGCGATTGTCCTCAGGCTAAAGGTTAGAATTTATAAAGATGTCTACAAACACAAGCACATACACACACACACATACACACTTTAGAAACAACACGGTACAAGCTAAGAAGACATTGAATTAAAATACTTTCAAATTTTTTCTTCGATGCTTTTTTCTCCACTTTTTTAATTAACAGACTATTCTTTAGAGCAGTTTTAGGTTTGCAGAAAAATTGAGCAGAAAGCTCTCAAATACTCCTTTTCTTCCTGCTTAATTCCCTCCTCTTATTACGGCTTGCATTAATGGAGTCCACTCATCACGCTGTGCCGGTGTTGACCCATTATTAATCATTGTCTGTACTTCACATGACGGGTGTCTGACTCCACAGGCTTTGCCAGTGCAGAATGTCATGTAGCCACCAACGCAATGTCATACAGAATAGCTTCATTGCCCTAAAAATCTTCTGTTTTCTAATTATTCATCCCTCGCTCCCTAACCTCTGGCAACCACTGCTCTTTTTACTGTCAACAGTTTTGCCCTTTCCAAAATGTCATATGACTGGAATCATGCAGTACGCAGCCTCTGCAGAGTGATTTCCTTCACTTAGCAGGACGCACTGTTTCCTCCGTGTCTTTCCACATCTTGACGGCTCTTTTTAATTACTAAATAATAGTCCATCATATGTATGTATAACACTTTGTTCACCTCCTGAGGGACACTTTAATTGCTTCCAAGTTTCAGCAATTATGATTAAAGTTGCTATAAGCATTCTTGTGGAAATTTTGTGTGGATATAAGATTATGCTCTTTTGCAGATTTTTTAAATATTGATATAACAGCTGCACCAACTTATATTAATACTAATAATGTGGGGCCAGGGATTTAGCTCAGTAGTGTCACCACCTGCCTTGCAAGTGCAAGCTGTCCAGTTTGATCCCTGGTACCAAAAACAAAAATCAGTTAAAGGTACAAGATCCCACTGATAAATGTAATTGTATTGTTTGCTTTAAATGTACCAATAATCTTAATGGGGAAAAAAAGAAAAAATACTAATAATATTATGAATAATATTAACTGAGCAGCAACAATCTTCAAGCACTATAGTAAATTGTTTATGATATTCTGATGTAGTTAATAACGAGGTTCCCATGTGAAAAATGAGGAAACTGAGAGGCCAGGTAACTAGCCTAGTGACACACAGCAAATGACATTGCACCTGAGAGTTAACAGGTTTGAACAACTCAGTTGTGAATTTTGTTTCATCTAGTACTTTTGGAATGTTTGTTGATGAATTGTCATTATGTATTAAGACATCAAATTTACCCTTCCACAGGATGCTTGTTCCCTTCATGAGTTTCTGTCTTTAGTAGATGGCTGCTTCTACCTCCAAAGAAATCCCAAATAGGAATGGCCAATAAACTCAAGGAAAGCTGTTTGCACATCCTTGGGGGAAATGCAAATCAGAAGCACAGTCAGCCCTCCAGATCTGCAGGTTCCACACCCCACACTTCAGCCAATGCTGCAAATATTTTCTGATTACACTGACCACATACAGACTTTTTTATTTTTCTTATTCCTTCCACAACAATATAACCACTATTCATACTGTAAATAGTGTTACTGTAGTAGGTACTGCAAGTAACATGTGAAATGTACAGGAGGCTGTGCGTGGGTTATTGACCACTGTGCCATTTTCAATAAGGGGCTGGGGCACTGTGGGTCTGGGTACCTGCGAGGGATCCAGGATCCAAAACCCTCACATCCGGAGGGTGAGCTGTGCAATGAACTGCCTGTTCACCGTCATCAGAAGGGCCATGATTACACCGACATGCACAGTTTTAACTTTTTAGTGACTTCTTATATCAGTTAACTCTTGCTACACTGTGCAATGAAACAAAGACTGCACAATTCCAGCAGCCTGTGACATGTGTTAGGAAAAGGGAAGGAAAAGAAACAAAGGCATGCGCTCAACAGGACAGGTTTATTTCATAACAAACCTGAGCAGCACTGCTCTGGAAGTAGAAACCAGACTGGATTACTTGCATATAGGCTATGGGGTCTTCTAGAGGGTCCTGGCATAAAGGGGGGCTATGAAAGGAAAAGGCCAGGGTGAACTTTCAAGGGGCAGAGCTCAGTGAAAAGGACATGTGACTAGCTGCCAGGGACAAGACTTGACAGCACATAAGAAGTCGTGGTTGCTTGTCAAGAGCAGGGACTAATAAGAGTATAGGGTGTAGCTGTGCTGACTGGGCCTTCTCAACCCATAACATTCATCTGCAGGAGGTGTAAAAGCATGGC